TTTGAGTTAAAATATATATTTATAATTTTAATAAATGACAAATTAAAAAGGCATAAACATTTTTTTTTGTATCGAAAAAATATCGAACCGTGACACCAAAGTATCGAACTGAACCGAACCAAACCGTGAATTTTGTGTATCGTTGCACCCCTAGTAAATACACACACACACACACTGATTAAGCACACTTTAATAATCCCTGAGGAAAGACAATAAAAATAGTAACAGGCTGAACTAATTAAATAATACCTTATATTACAAATTTACAAAGTATAACAAAGAGCTCTAATATATATACAAATATTTCAAATTAAATATCAAGAATATTACAGAGCTGAAATATATAAGTGTGGCAGGGCATGGTCTGTGGTGCAGCTGTGGGGGAGGCGGACACACCTGAGCAGCATCAGCAATCACACTTACCGGCTTAAAAGCAGAATGAACCGGGTCCTGGGGGCGTCGTTGTTGTTGGTGTGTTTGGCTGGCAACAGAAAAGTTGCAGTCGCGTGTAAGTTACGACAACCGGAAATAAAAGAAAGTGTTGAAAAGTCAATGTGTGCAATATGTGGCGTCTGTTACAATAAGATTGACATGTTACTTTACCCTGTAAAACTTGTGGGCATGTGCAAAAACTATTGCAGTATACTGATTGGTTAAACTGCTATTTTATAACCTGAATATCAAACACCACCTTTAACGCAACAGCTTAAATCAAGTAGAAGAACTCGTGGGAGTCTTCTGTTCTGTATTCCTCGTATTCTGACTTCTATTTTTGGACTTACAGCATTCTCCTATTTGTTGGTGGTCTGCATTTCCCCCTTTAGTTCTTATTGTTCACTTCCTGTTTCACTTGCATTTCTGATAATTGAGTACGCCTCTGTCTTGTTTCCTCCCAGCTGTGGTCAATCCTCATTACTCCTCAGTGCGTGAGGGTGTCTACTTACCCTCACTGTGTGTTTTTGGGTTCCTGTTTCTGGGTCTTTACCTTCAAACCATCCACACAAGTCTGCAGACTCTGCAGCTTCAGCACAGGAAGAAGTTTTACACCTGAAACAAACATACGGTGGCTCACAGAACCACTTTGTGTGCAGGAGGTCAGGAGGTCCATTTTGGTTGGTTGACTTTATCTGTTTTCTGTCACGGTGGAACAGGCTTGAGCTCAGTGACCATATAAAAGTGCAGATATGGAAGCTTTGTTCCCATGAGGAACACCACATCTGTCATCAGAGCTTTGATAAAAGGATTAATCAGCCTCTTTATCCTCATCCTTCTCATTTCTCTTTTCCTCTTCCTCCTTTGTTTTTATCTTTACTTCCTTTTTTAATAGCTTCCTCTCCTTCCTTTGGTTTTATGTCTCTCCCAGTCTGTTGCTTAGAGTGAGACGTGGAGCTTCCCTCAAGTGTGTGAAGAGGCAGAAGTTTGATTGAACATCACAGGGAGGAGTATGTGTTTAATAGGGCAGGGTTAGAGTTAGGCCAGAATCATCATCATTATTGATTTTAAATCATATTTAAAGGAATACCCCACCACAGGCCCAGCCCTCTGTGTGCAGTGTTGGGTTACTGGCAGATGCAGCAGAGGATCCGGGTTTGTGCCTCTGGGAGACAAGTGGCTGAACAGTGTGAAGAAAAGGCCTCAGATGGTCGGTGATGGTGTCAGCATGGCTCCTCTGGTCTTCAGCTGAGCCTTCGGGATGCAGAATGGGGCAATAAAACTGTGATCGAAGGGTGGGATCAAAGCAGAACAGATGGAGGACAAAAGCAGAAAGGCCAGACGTGAGGGCGGGATGAGAGAAGAGGTACAGAGATGATGATGATGATGGATGATGATGAGAGACAGGCTCAAAGAAAGACAGAGTGGAAAGAGACATTACGGGAAGGTAATGGGAACCGTTTCATTGCTGAAGTCAGTGCTAATTGGTGGCTTTTATTCGCGGTTAGCATGTTTTTGTAAATGCAGGATGGTGGAAATGTCCTCTTGTCTCGCTCTCTGAAACTGGAAAACAGAGCCAGGAGGTCGGGGGGGACAGAAGCCAGTTTATTCACAGTAACTCTTTGTGTTTTTGGCTCTATTCATGGATTTGCTCATTTATTCCAGGCAACAGAAAATAAAATAAGAGATGCTCGGACTCGTTGATTCCTTTAACTTTCACGTGCTCTACCTGCTGCATTAATATCGAACCATTTCACAGCTCGCTTCCTTTTCTTCTTCTTCTCTTTGTCAGGTTTGGGGTGAAACTTTGTGTTTGTGGCAATTTTTAATGAGTGTGTGTGAGTCTGATTCCTGTAATCATACTTACGCTCTCTCTCTGTCATCTCCCTGCAGATACTACGCTATCTGCTGCCAGCCTCTGGTCTACCGGAACAAAATGACGCCCATGCAAGTGGCTTTAATGATCGGCGGCTGCTGGGTCATTCCCACTTTCATCTCTTTCCTGCCCATCATGCAGGGCTGGAACAGTATCGGCATCGACCACCTGGTGAGTGCTGCGGGCTGGCGTCTGCGTGGGAGGGGGGATCTTTTTTACAAGTTCGTGGAAGTGAAAGCTGCCCGAGGAGACACAAAGACGAGCCAAAGATGGAAAAAAGCTGAACAAAATATGTTTAGCATAAACAGAAAAAAAAATGGGATTCTGGGAAGTTTTGTTTACACGAAGAAGAAATGCTTCATGCGTCACCGTGGCAACAACAACAACAACAGCATATCAGACACAGAGACAGACGGACGAGGCTGCCGACACCACAGACACAGGGTTGGGCTGTGTTTGAGTTCAATTTAAGATCCTCTGTGACACAAGCGCCACGCAAAGAACGGAAACAAAATGACCCGCTCACAGATTCAGTCTGGGCGAACGGGTTTCACTCAGACCGGCGTCTATAAGGCTTTCAGGAAAAACCTCTTCCCTTTAAATGTTTATTTCTTCTTGCCCTCTGAAAGTTTTCCATCTGAAAAAGAAAATTCATAAAATCGCTGAGTTCCTAAACACTGAGACGAGCGCCCGGGACACTCTGGAAACACTAATTTTACCTGGAACATCCCAGAATATTTACACGTGTGTTTCCCTCCCACCAGCCTACATATTCCTGTGTATTATACTGTGGATGATTAACATCCAGATGTAAGACAGATGGAAACAGTGTGAGCAGAGAGGTCAGTGTGGAGCTCAGCTGCCTGACGATGACCACACCTTACCTGTCTCAGGTGTAAGAACTCTCTGATCTTCTCTCCGCTTGTCGGGAATAACTGACTGAGTATTAATGAGGTCACAGCTTTGGTGTCATGTGCAGAAACGTGGGCGTCTTCAGAAGTACACCTGTGAAGCTGCAGGTGAGGCTCACTGATGTGAAGGCAACATTCAGCAGCTCAATGACCTCTGACCCCGCAGTGTATATCCATGAAGTCATTAGAATAGTTCCTGAGACCAGCATCACTGCCTTCTGATGCACACGCAGTCATTCTGACTATAAGCTGCCTTAAATATGGAGAATGCTCTGAGTTCAGGGGTAAAGAGTTAACCTTACTGCCAAACCTCTGCTTTGTAAGCATGTCAGATATACTCTGTGTTCTCTGCTGTTTAAATGTGGAAATCTCTGCTTTAACCCATCCACCTTCCACTCGGTGAAAACAGTCCACTGAGACTGAGGTGTTTCGCTCCATATAAGCCACAGTGATCACAAGGAACAGAGACGATTCGATCCTGCGCCCCCCTGCAGATGTGGATCGGGATGCCCTGATGTTGGGATGAGAACGGGGCAGATAACATTCTCACTTA